TAGTCTTTGTTTGTAAAATCATCCAGTTTTACTCCCCTTGAGCCCAACTAGTAACTCAGCATAACTTTCCTTCCCCTACTTATCTTCCCTCTTTGTGCTTTTAAAAATTCCAGTCTGGTGATATTGATCCAGACTGTTATTATACAACTATTCTATTTGTATTATACAACTTTTCCATATTTTTTAGGCTTTTCCAATATGTTTTAAAGCATTCTAAGAACAATTACTTTTATTTATATTTATGTATTTGATTGATTTAACTGCTCTGTGGATTTCTCTAGTCCTTTTGATACTATCATTTTCTCACTGTTAATGCTGCGCTTTGATTTGTTACTGAGCCATCTGGAGAATGGCTTTTGGTGTTTCATCAGTGTCTTAGTCTGTTCGTGCTTCTCTACAGGAATACCTGAGACCAGGACATTTATAAAGCAGAAAAGTTTATTGGGTTCATGATCCTACTGGTTGGAAGACTGGGTGTCTGGTGAAAGCCTCAGGCTGCTTCCTTCCACTCATGGTGAAGGGTGAAGGGGAGCATGTGCGGAGATTCTATGGTGAGAGAGGAAGCCAGAGAGAGCGGGGGAAGGGGGCGGATGCCAAGTTCGTTTGAACAACTAGCTCTTGAGAGAACAAATAAGGTGAGAACTCACTGATTACTGCAAGGATGGCACCAGTCCTTCATGAGAGATCTAGACTCAAGCAACTTCCACTAGGCCCACTCCAACCCTGCCACAATAGGGATTAAATTCCAGCAGGAGACTTGAAGGGGTCAAACAAACCATATTAACTATCAAACTATAGTAATCAGGATGGGTAAAAGGGTAGGGTAAGCTCTGATTTTGCACATGAGGTTGTTTTTCTGCCTTCACCCATGAATGGCAATCATTGTATTTATGGGCTACAATCTTTTCTCATCAACATCTTGGAGTCATTGCTCTGTGGATTTCTCTACTTTCATTTTTTGGATGGAAGGTTTGAAGCTTGTCTGATTTTTATTCTTTTTTTTTTTTTTTTTTGAGATGGAGTATCTCTCTGTCACCCAGTCTGGATTGCAGTGGTGTGATCTTGGTTCACTGCAACCTCCAACTCCCAGGTTCCAGCAATTCTCCTGCTTCAACCTCCTGAGCAGCTGGGACTACAGACACCCACCACCACGCCCAGCTAATTTTTGTATTTTAAGTAGAGACAGGGTTTCACCATATTGGCCAGGATGGTCTCAATCTCCTGACCTTGTGATCCACCCGCCTCAGCCTCCCAAAGTGCTGGGATTACAGGCGTGAGCCACTACGCCCAGCCTGATTTTTATTCTTTTGTAGATAACTTTTATATTATCATGGCTGCATATTGTTAAGATTTTTAAAGAATTTCTATTTAAAGATATTCCAGTACATGTTTAGATATATAATGTATTTCAATGACCTTTACTGTAATTTAGTGAGCCCAATTAATCTGCACCCCTAAATAATTTTAGATCAGCAAAATTTTAATTTTAATATTTAATATTTATTTACTATAATTAATATTAATAATTTTTCCTGCTCTACCTAGTATTCTGGTTTCTTTCCTCAAGTTACTGTATAAGTCATTGGTGTAGCAGAGATTTATTGAGTGCCAACTATCTATCAGACACTATTCTTGGCCCTTGATGTTATATTAATGAGCAAAACCAAAATTTCTGTTCTCATAAAAGCTTACAATCCTTCCATAATAAACAGACAATAAGCAATAAACCTAATAAATGTGTAAGTGACACGGGGGAGCACATGACCCAGGGGTCGGGGAAGGCTGTGGTATTAACTTGGTTGGTTAGGGTAGGCATAGAGGAGATAAATTTTTTCTTTTTTCAGTTTTTGCATTTCTTTTTCTTTTTCTTTTTCTTTTCTTTTTACTTTTCTCTGCCACTGATTGCAATCGGGTCCCTTCCTTCTGTTTTAGGGGCTGTTTCCATGTTCATATGCCATATCAGTGATGAGATTTCACATAGCATCAGTGCTGCTCTGTTTTATCTCTATGCTATTATTACCTTTTGCTTTTCCCTGCAATCTTCAAACAGCTATTTTCAGACTACTTTCTTATGTCTGTTTCCTCTCAGCTTGTTTTCTGTTTGTGGCTTCTTCCTCTTGGTTAATAACAGAAGTCATGAGCCTGTGTACCATTTCATGGATGATGAATAGATGTCTTTTAAACAGTTCTATTTTCCAAAGAAAATTATACTTTCTGAGAAAAAATATGCTTTCCAAAAAAAAGACATGCTTTTCATCAGACCAAGACTCTGTTTCCTTTCTGCAGTAGTGTCTCTTCCTAGGCCTCTTCTCATTTTATTTATTCATTCCTCAGCAGAGGCCACCTTGGTCTCATGTCTGCCATAAGATAGGACCCATGGGGCCCACTGCCCTACCTCTCTGATGGTGACTGTCCCTCAGCTCAGACTGGGAATGAGGTGTGAGGCACACTTGCAATCTCTATTAAACTGGGCAGAAGGCTCTGTCCTCTTTTTTCAGACTCTGACGATGGCAGATGAGTCAGAGGCCAGTGTGTTTACTGCCCTGGTCCATCGGAAGCAGCAGAGCTCTGAGCCCCTGACCTCTGTCCCCTTTGTAGAGTTGACCATGCATTCAAAGACACCAAACACTTCTGCCGAGACGTCCTACCATGGTGCATAATAAAAGCAAAGGTTGCCCTCTTTGAATGTGTAGATGAAGCAAGAAGCAGATTGGCCGGGGTGAGGGGCACAGACCTGCTCTGGCAGGCGACAAAGGTGGCTTTCGCATAGTGAGCTATGACCACCTCATTTTTTAGTGAGTTGTATTCCTAATTTTCAGTCTCCTGTGCAGCATATCCTATCCAAGTTAGAGGCACAGTCCAAACATGTTTTTCTCAACCTATTCCCAACATCAATGGGTTTGGCAATGAGATATTCTTTTATTTCCCCCACTTACCAATCTTGATCTTGGATTATTAATGGTAGATCCTACTAATCTGTCATGCTATTATCAAGCATTCCTTCATTAACTTAGTAACTTACTTATCTGATTGTAAAATCATGAAAGCAACGTAGGCATTACTGTTGCTATTTTAAGGCCAGAAAGGTCAAGTGACTTGCACAGGGTCATGTATTTAGACTGAGACCGACTGGTCCATGTATTTTTCCCACTATCCTTCGTTGTTCCTCTCTGACCACCCTACGGACTTTGATGACACATTTCAAGTCTAAGGCTACTTTCCCCAGCAATTCACCACATGGTATGCCTCTTAGACATTCTGCCACTATAAGTGTGTATGTTTGTGTTCAATTAATAAGAAATTGGTAAGACCATTTGCGTGTGTGCATGTGTGTAGGCACACAGCTAGTTTGTGTCATAACTGAAAGCAGAATACATACCTTCTCATCTCAAATTCAGATTTTTTTTTCTTTCTCATGTATGGTATCTTCTTGCTAAAAAGAATGAGGGGGAAGAGCTCTTGCCAGAAATTTCCTCACATGCATTCCCAAATGGAACGAAACTCTCAGAATGCATCTCAGCCTCTGTGCTTCCCTGCTGGCGTGATCACCAGGAGATGTCACATCATCTGCATGTGTACCATGAATGGCACTAGGAAGCTTCCCTGTCATCCCACTGGGCTCCCTGTCACCCCTAACCCGCTGCAAAACCGCAGTCACGGAAATCTGAGGCTCAGCAAGCTGTTCACGTTGGTGTGTGTTGTTTGCATGATGAACGTGGTGGTGTCCGATTGGCATCCTGGTTAATCAATAAATGTAAACGTGGCTACCCATACCCAGCTCTGATAAGCCTCTCCTTTACTTTCTGTTCTGGCTCAGGCTTCATTTCCCACCCTAATACACATCACCAAGTCCCCACATTCAAATCATTGTCACTCTTCCAACAGAGGCCAGCTCCAGTCAATGAGAAAGTCCCAGGGAACAGATCCTGGTTACGGTGGCTTTCTACTACACCAGGCATACTCTTTCCCCTCCTCTAATTCATCCCTGGTTACAGAGGAGCTGGTCCTAGAGATTCATTTTATGAATGGACTTGTAAGGAGTCCCCCATTCTTTCCCCACACACTCCAGAGAGTCCATATTCTGAGGCACACTAGGGGTTTGTAGGAGAGAAACTCATGGCTTTGAGGGAACACTGGTGCCCCATCAGCTCCCTTTGGGGAACGTGGCTTTGCAGGTTCACATTCACAGAGGAAAGGACATGTCGCAGACATAACTGCAGGCAAAGCTCCTGGTTCCTTGGACCATAAAAGAGGGAGTGATTCTCTTTGGTAAATTTCATGTATGGTTACACAGTTTCAGTTCTAGTAAATTACTTGGCCTGTCCTTTGAATACATCGAGATAGCTGATGAAGATTAGGACAAAACCTTCTTGCTTTCAGACTCAGCTGGTCTTCTAAAGCATGGCAGGGAAGGCCCGGTTTGGGCTAACGTTACACAGAAGCAAAACGTAATCCAAGAAGATCACATGGGCCCAGCACACCCCACCCTGCTTGTTAGGCTGTTTTAACTTAAGGTGTATTAGGGAAATCACAACAAATAATCTAACAATGAATTTAACCAATGACTTTATCCCCTGAGAGTTAGCTGTCTAAGGAGGTAAACAAAGGTCATTGGACAGAATCTGGTTCCATGTTCCAAACCTAGATTTAAAATAACGTAGACAGTGGTTCTTAACCAGGTGTGACCTTTCTCCCTGGTGACACAGCAATGTCACCGTGGTTGGCATCTAGTGGCATGAGGGATAGGAATGCTGCTAATGTCCCGTAAAGCACAGGGTATTCGCCTGGCCTGGCCCCCTTCTCCCCACAGTAGCACTGAGGTTCAGAAACCCAGATGTGGATGATTATCACCCCCTTTCCTGCTGGCAGTCGATAGCGCATCTCCCGGACATAACTCCTCCCCACACCCTCCTCCTCACCAGTGGAGACACGTCCTTGCTAGTCTTCTCTTTGGGGAAGGAGCCTGTTTGATGAAAGCTCTGCATGTGGGTCACACTCACCTTTCCCTGCTGGTCTGTTTTGATCTCCCAGCCCCGGGGCAGTTCCAGCCGAGTGTCTGCGAACATGTTGATGAAATTCACCAAGTCCCGGTTGTGCTGGTAGCGTTCAAAATTGCGAGCATCCCGCCGGACTTTCAGAATCATGTGCTTTAAGCAGGTGCTACTGGTGAAGACTCGGTAGGCACTCTGAGATGGGTCGGGGCGGATGGGGTAGGTAGTGGGGAATTAGGGAAAACACAGAGCAAGACTGTGAGCACCCTAACACTGCTAAGTGTGAATGTGACACAGTGGTTTATTGTGAACATGAGGTGGATGCCTCAGAAAATGAGCTCCTGCTCAAGAAGTAAACACCCAGGAATTTGAGACCAGCTTGGGCAAGACAGTAAGACCCCATCTCTACAAAAAATTAAAAAAATTAGCTGGCATGGTGGCGTATGCTGGTGGTCCCAACCACTGGGGAGGCTGAGGTGGAAGGATCACCTAAGTCTGAGAATAGAAGCTGCAGTGAGCTATGATTATGCTGTTGTAATCCAGCCTGGGCAACAGAGCAAGGCCGTGTCTCAAAAAAGAAAAGAAAAAGAAAAAAAAAAAAAGAAGTAAATGTGCATCGAAACACACCCCCTTGGCTCACATAGACATATCTGTGACACCCGCTCCACCTGAGTGCCGGGCGGCTCGGGACACGGCCGACCTCTCTGTGTGACTCCACACGGTCTTCCCGCCGTCTCAGCCATGCCTGGTTCTCCTTGGCCTCCCTCTACCTGCCTGAGCCTCAGTCCTCTCTCTCCTCCATGGTCCCTTCTCTGACTGCTGAGGTCTGCCTTTGGTCCTCCTCCCTGTCTAAAAGGGGGAGTATTAATTTAGAGCTCCTGGATTGAAGGCTGGTCATGAGATGTCTGTCATTTTTTTGAACACTATGTAAAAATGTGTGTGTGTGTGTGTGTGTGTGTGTGTGTGTGTGTGTAGGTGTTGGGAGAGGGGAAGAGATGAAGAAGGAAATGACAATGTGATGGTACACAGGACTGGTGTGTGTAGGGGGTCCGGGGGGGGCGTTGAAAGGACAGACCGTGTATAGGCAGGGGTTTGGGCCAGTGGCTCCTGCTGGCCCAGGGCCACCTGCACCAGGGCTGGGGCATGGCCATGTGCCATAAGCATTTTCCCTGTGGCTCCCACTGCACCTCTGGGGAGTTGCTTGGAATCCAGCCACAGGGAATCCCATAGGCTTCTCAGAAATAACCTGTTAAAAACTGATCCCCGCCTCTGCTGCCATACCCTCCATCACCCAGTCAAACTCCAGCTTCAGCTTAGTGGGGTCACTGTCTTACCCAGGTGCCCAAAGCTGAAACTATGCTGTCTTTCTAGAGTCCTCATCTTGCACCCACCCATGATCACAAGGGACCCAGGTGCTGATGAGTCCATGAGAAATATCCCTGAATAGAGCCATTCCTTGCCACGCTCCCACCCCTTCCTTAGGTCAGAGCCAGATCATCTCTCACTCAGCGGTTGAATCAGCCTGTCTCTTAACCGCCTCAGCTCAGTCTCTCCCCGATACTCTGCCAGAGAAGATGCATCATCCACCCCCCTGGTCAGGTAGCCTCAGTGTTACTGTTGGTTCCTGTGACCTGCTGTAGTAGATCCAGGCTCCTGTGCACGACTTACCAGGTGTTCTGCTGCCCAATCTCCAGCCTCTCCTCCTCTCTCCCTCCTACCAGCCACCCACACTCACCACCCTGGAGTTATTTCCCAGGCCTCCTCACAGTGCATCCTTTTCTCTTTTTCTTTTTTGAGACAGAGTCTCGCTCTGTCGCCCAGGCTGGAGTGCAATGGCGTGATCTTGGCTCACTTCAATCTCCATCTCCTGGGTTCAAGTGATTCTCCTGCCTCAGCTTCCCAGATAGCTGTGATTACAGGCATGTGCCACCATGCCTAGCTTATTTTCTGTATTTTTAATAGAGACAGGTTTCACCGTGTTAGCCAGGGTATTCTCAATCTCCTGACCTCGTGATTTGTCCACCTCGGCCTCCCAAAATGCTGGGATTACGGGAGTGAGCCACCGCACCCGGCACAGGTACATCCTTTCTACAGATGTCCATCTGCCCGGACCGCTTCCTGTCCACTTTCAACCTCCAGGACTCAATTCAGCTGCCTCCCCAGGAATGCTCCCCGGCACCCCCAGAGCATTCTGTCCTCCCTTGGTTCACCTGGTCCTGTCACACTGAGCTGATCTTTTTCATGTCATCGTTCCACAAAATGGGAGCTCCTACTGTTTAGATGTCACCCTAATCTGTCTTTGTGACTCCAGCACCTAGATCTGAGCCTGAACCACACAGAAGATGTTTGTTGAATGGAAAAATTAGTGAATATAGTGATAACATGATATTGCTTTCTTGAAAATACACACACACACACAAAAAGCAATGAAAAAACTACATAGGTAAAATCACATCAAATTTAACTTCAGCATGATATTTGAAAAACCACATCAAAAAGAAACCTCTTCGTTTATCTAGGAGAACTCTGCTTTAAAATTTTATCAGTGAAAATGATTTTATAAAATGAGTAGGCTGAAGGAAATCTGGCCACTTCATAATCTTGCTCTGTTAAAATTTTAATAATAGTGAAAACAGGTTTGTTTCCAAAGCACTTTCACTGATATTAACACATTTGAGCCTAACAAAAACCCACAGAGGCAGCAGCATTTCCAAATCCAGTCTTTTTCTTTTTTGGGAGACTCACAGACACTCAAAAGAGTAAACTGAGCTGTCTTTGTTTTTTGTTGCTTGTCAGTCTAGCCTTTTAGATCTATCAGATGACTTTACAAAGCTGTGTTTTGGGTCTTGCCAAGCCAGGCAGCCCCCTCTATGTTTTAGGGCACTCACATAATTGGCGTGCAGCACAGTGAAGAACTCCGGGTTGGTGATGAACTTGACCGCTGGGGACTGCAGCAGCAAGGTAATTTTTTGCGAGTTCACTGGAGACAGTGAACCTTCTCTTCTTAGATCTGCAAAAAGTGAAGGAAAGCAACAGAACACATTGGGAAAAGGGCATTTCAACCCCTGTACTTCCCTCCTGATGGCAGCGACACACATGCCTTCACCCACACAGCAGACTGTTGGATTTACGCCAAGTGCCATTACTTTATGTATGTCAGTTAAGAATCATCACTTCCTAGCAGTGTTTCTGTATAACTTCAATAAGGCTCAAGTCTTCTAACATCTCTCCTCTTTTATCACAATGATTTTTCTTCCTCCCTCCTTCCCTCCCTCCCTCCCTCCCTCTTTTCTTTTGCTCATTCATTCATTCGTTCATACTTTCTTTCTTCCCTTCCTCTCTCTTTCTTTCTTGAGACAGGGTCTTGCTCTGTTGCCCAGGCTGGAGTGCAGCCAGGCGAACACAGCTCACTGCAGCCTTGACCTCCTGGGCTCAAGCCATCCTCCCATATACTCAGCCTCCTGAGTAGCTGGGACTACAGGCGTGCACCACCACGCCTGCCTATTTTTTTCTTATTTCCTTTGCAAGTTGCAAACCATAGCTGTGATAGATTGTTTGCAGAAAGGACCACAGCCTCTCTTCCTTACATCCACACCCAGTCACATTGGGACTTCGCTGCTTTTCCCCTTGGTGAATTGGGGGCTGGCCTTGTGTCTCATTTCAACCAACAGAACATGTCAGAAGTGACAATTGGTCAGTTCTGCATCAGGATTTCAAGAGACCTGCATCTCCACTCTCTGGTATTCCTGCCACCGCCATGAGAAAAAGCTTGGGCGAGCCTGCTGCAAGATGACAAACCATCCTACCGGCAATCATCTCAGGTCAGCCCATGGCCAACTCCACAGATGACCCAAGATGGACAGGTGAGCCCAGCAGCAACCCAAGGAGCCATCCAGTTGAGCTCTGCTCAATTCGCCAACCCGTAGAATTGTGGGGTAGATTCATGGTTGTGAGTTTCAGTCACTAATTGTGGGATTTTTTTAATACAGTAAATGCCAAATGATTTAATATCAAACTCAGAAATGAACTTTCTGTTGCTTTTTCTCATTTTTCTAATTACTTAGCTATTGTACCATATCCCTCTCAGAAGGCTGAACAAAGAAATTAATAACAGGCCAGGTGCAGCGTCTCATGCCTGTAATCCTAGCACTTTGTGAGGCTGAGGCCGGAGGATCGCATGAGGCCAGGAATTTGAGACCAGCCTGGGTAACATAGCAAGACTGTCTCTACACAAAATGAAAAAATTAGCCAGGCATGGTGGTAGATGCCTGAGGTCCCAGCTACTCAGGAGGCTGAGTTGGGAGGACTGCCTGAGCCCAGGAGTTTGAGGCTGCAGTGAGCTATGATCGCACCATAATAATGCATTCCAGCCTGGGTGACAAAGAGAGACTCTGTTTTCAAAAATAAAATAAAATAAATAATAATAGAAAAACCTAAACTAGTCAGTTTAGTTCGCATATCTGGTAAAATGAATAACAGGAAGGGGGGAGTTAAAATTGGTGGTGGAATTGTGGATGTGCATTTTAAAAAATCACATGAAAATGTCCAATATTCTGCATTGTCATAGACGGCTGAGACCTGGCAGGATTGGAATCCCAGTGCTGCCTGCCCAGACGGTCCTCTAAGCCTTCTTTTGGCAAATAAATCTGGCATCATTTACCCAATTTAAAAAGAAAGTGGATTAATAGAACGCCACTGTGATCATCTTATCTCATTACAGGTTAAAAAAAAAAAAAAAGTGGAAGCCAGTCTCATGCCTTTTGATTATCCTTGTCTGAGTTCCACTCGGGTAAATTCAAAGAAATGAAAACCAGGCAAACCAGGCCCCAGGTGAATGCCTAGTGCAGTCGGTAAAAATTCCCTCCTGTGGCATGCTGAGAAACCTCTCTCAAAGTTTCCTCTCTTGGGAGAAGTGAATTTTGTTTTACGTGCAAACAAGTGATTGTTTCTAGTGTTGTCACATGGCTCCTTTAAAATAGATTGTGAAGTTTTATTGCATGTTTTATTTACAAGTGGGAAAATCCTTAGGACACCAGTACATACATTTACTTAACAATATGTGATTGAGCCACCGACAAAGTTGCCTTGCTTCACAAGCACGATAGCAAACTCAGCTCCATCCCCAGAATTCATCTGTTTCCTGTCTCCAGATCCCCATGCCAGGGTGATGGTGTTTCCTTCACCATGATCACTTCTCCTGTTTCCTGGTGGGAAGTTTGTTCTGACTGCTTTCCCCTGTGGGCACCAGGCATGCCTCTCTCCTCCACCCTGGCTCTCTACTCTTCACTCTGGGCACATAGTTCCCCACGAGGCAGGGTGAGTGGCTTGCAGTCCTCTGTCACACAGCCCTTGGAAGCTATCACAGGATGCAGGGACCCCTCCTTCCATACCTAAGCTGGACTGGGAAGATTCGGCTTCTGAGTCACTCCCTCCACCTCCGCCTCCTCCTGCTGGGGCTTGCTCACAGCTTTGGCTGCCAGAATCTTCTTCAGGCCTCTCTGTTGCAATGGTTCGCTGAATATTTTGATACCTTTGCATTAGAAAATGGAAAGACAAGAGTTAACTTTGGTTTGCTCGTTGGGGTCCAATACTCTGAATCAGATAATTGGAGAAATGTATAAAGAACTGCCTTGAATGTCAGGAAAGAAATGCTTAAAATTCCCACAGGGTAGCCAGAGCAATTAGCAAGACAAGTATCTCTAAGATGATACAAGTTCTTTTTGTTTTATAAGCTGTGATGATTTTCAATATGGTGACTTTAAAAAAAACGATACAAATAACTAATCATGCAAAACAGCCTGTGCCCTGCACAAAACAAAAAATCAGCCTAAGTCTAAAATAAGAGCATGGGAAGTAAATTAAAATGCTACAACTAAGATATCAAATTACCTCAACATGAGTGTAATGAGTCTACAAACTGGAGTAGCAGTTCTACTCACTCACTTTTATTTGATAGGTAATTGATACGATGGGGCGAAGGTTGTGGAAATATTATACCTAATAGCATTCTGGCAAATAAATAAATGTTTTCTGCTTATTCAAAGGCTTATTTTATTTTTCTTCCCACGTTGGGGATTTAGTCATTTGGCCAGCCAGCTAGCCACCTTGCCAAGCACTAAATATTTCCTAACCCTCCCAGTATGTGCAGGCTCTGTGCTGGACTTTCAGATCGAAGAGAGGATTAGAATATGACATTGCCCTTTAAACACACACAGTCGAGATGTAACAAAAGGGGAATGGGACGGAAGCCATAACTCCAGCCAGGTGAAAGGCTGTCGTAGACAGAGGTGTGTGGGATGCAGACGAGGAGACTCCTGAGGTTTGTACATTTTGAAGCTGGAGTATGAGTTTGCTGGGGAGCTGGTTGGGAAAAAATATTTCAGAAGAGCAACAACAATGTGCAAAAGTGGGCCACTCTTGGGGAGCTCTGAGAAGCCTGGCAGTGGCCTTATCAGGTCATGTGGGCACCGGGCAGGGCCTGGAGAGCAGTGGAGAGAGAGGAGGGAGCCCCAGAGGCCACCCTGCAGTAGGCTGGGTGTTATTCTGTAGGCCACAGGTTCCCCAACTTGACCTGTGCAGAATCATCCACAGGACTTAAAACAGACTCCCAGCCCCACCCCTAGAGTCTCTGATTCAGCAGGTTTGGAGTAGGGCCAAAGAATGTGCATTTCCTTTTTCTTTCTTTCTTTCTTTTTTTTTTTTAGAATGTACATTTCTGATGAGTTCTCAGGTGATCCTGGTGCTGCTGGCCCAGGGATCAACCTTGAGAATGAACCACTGCTCTTGGTGATGGGCGGCTGCTAAAAAACAGGCAGGGCCAGATGTACACGGAGATTGATCACCCAGTGTCAGAGTGGAGAATGCATTGGAGGAGAGGAGCCTGGAGCTGTGGAGAGCAGCTGGGAGCTCCTGCAACAGCCTACGCTGGAGACTTTCCTGGAAACTTTTTGTCTCCAGGAAAGCAATGAGTGGGTGGAGGAAGGGGATGAAGAGGAGGAGGAGGATGATGAGAGACCACGTAGCAGGAAATAGCCAATCTCCAAGTGCAATCCCAGGTGGGAACGTGCGGGGATGCTTGCTACACAGATGAGGCTCCACTGTGGCAGGATCTCTGCAGACCAGTGCCCTGCTCTTTCCTTGACCTTACAGAGGAAAGCTTTCTCACTGTAGTTTTCAGGCCATTTGCAAGAGTATCATCTGAGTGATTGTTAAAATTACAGAAACTGAACCAAATAAAAACCTGCATTTCTAACGAGTTCTTTAGGAAGTATTATTTATATCTAGGTTTGAGAACTACTGGCCTACGGGCTTCCTTTCAGTTTTATCTGGAGAGACCCCCACTCACTTCTGACACCTTTCAGAAGCCACCTTTGCCCGTAGTGGTTACTGCAAGGCATTTCCTGAGCAGGCCTCTTAGAGCAAAATGCGGAAGGGGCCGATGAGCTGAGCGGTGGTGGAATTATAGAGAGAAATATTTGTGGTAATTCACCACCCTGTATATCTGTGGTGAGAGGCTGTGAAGAGGTGATGGATGGTGAGGGATGGCCCTCTGCGATCTTCTCCCTGCTAGGGACTCAGGGAATGCAGCCGTGGCAGGAGAGCAGGGGGTGCCAGTGAGAAGCTGCTCAAGCGTTGTGACCTTGACCAAGGCGGGGAATGGGGCCTGCCAAACCTAAGGCAGCTGCTACTGGGAGGACTCCCTAAATGCCTTAAGGCAGGCTGCGTTTCTCAAAATGGCTCAACGATATTTTTAGACCCACATGCTCTTCCAGAACTGTATCCCTCTCCTTTAAAAGATAGAATCCATGTCCCCTTCAACTACCTTGACTAATAGAGTTAGTAACACTTTGTGCTGGAACTTGGCAGCCATGCTCTGAGGCGGCCCAGGTGACACGGAAAGCCTCTGTGCAGGTGTCCTGGCTGAAAGGCCCAGCCAACAGCCAGCATCAAGCTCCTGATATGCGAGTCTCCAGGCCTGGCCATCCTCTGACTGCAACCAGGTGATATCCCTGGAGGGAACTGCCTCGTTGGGCCCAGTCAAACCAGAACCATGAGAAATAATGGTGAGAAGAAATGCTTGGGGTTGTTTTATGCCACTACATTTGGTGTGGTTTTACTTAGCAATAGATGCCTAGAATAGGGCTTACACAAATGTCAGGTTGTAGCCTCTCCTTTCATTCCCAATGTGCAGTGACCACAGCAGGGCATTATGAGTAAATCTGATCTTATTTGATGAGGATAATGTCAGCAATGTCATGACCTACTTCACATGTCCTCAGCTGGACCTCGGTTATCTCAGGCCTTCCTAAGTCAACAGCCTCAAATCCTGCATTCGACCCCATGTCTGACCTCTGCTGAAGCACAGAGGCAGTTTGGGGAAGCAGGACACACAGTGGCTTGAGGAGGCTCTCAGTCTCACAGGGCAGGACTGCAGTCTCAGAGGCTCCCCAGCTTTAAACAGGAGAGAGAGCAGCTCTCTTCTCTTTCATTAGGAATTATCCATCAAAGTCCCCCTCCATTTTTTTGTACCAAAATATTAAATATTTATAGTATATAAAAGGCTCATGAAAATTAGCTAGAAAGTCAGCTGAAATACATAATTTGTAAATGGACACACACACACACCCCAAACAAGGCAAAAAAAAAAAAGCCCTCCAAAATCAAGCAAAACCAATGAGCCAACTAATAACTTCACCCCTCTTCAAAAGCCCAAGAACAGACATTTCACATGGGAGAAACCATTGTTATTAAAGAAAAGCTTACGGAAAACAAGTTGACCCTTGCTCCAGCAAGTGAAATGTAAGTGGTATCAAAATACCAGGAGCACCTCTTAAATCAACAAAAACAAACCAAAAGATGAGATGGAAGCGAAGCTGTAGCTGTTGGCAGAGTAAACTCCCCGAATCACAGTGTCTAATGTAGAAAGTTAGGCATTGATACCAAATACCAAATTCACATTTATCTCCCTTGGCCTACTCTTTTGGGAATAGAATCCTAAGGAAACCCTCTACTACAAGGCAATCTTAATATTTAGCAGGCCCTTGTGACAAAAACAGTGACAAAAGCAAGAAGCAAATCATTCTACAACATGAAATTAGGTTAACTAAACTTCAGCCATTCATGGAATACTATACGAGCAATTATATGTTAATTTGAAGGCTATGCAGCAATATTAAATGCTTAGAGTTTTATAAGTGAAAAAAGAATATGAAACCAACTACATATCACCATTGTAACCATGTAAGGATTGTGCACGCATATGGAAATTGAAGATGGCAACATGTTTTAAAAAAGCTAACTTGGCTGGGTGCAATGGCTCACGTCTGTAATCCCAGCACTGTGGGAGGGTAAGGCAGGTGGATCACCTGAGGCCAGTAGTTTGAGACCTGCATGGCCAACATGGTGAGACCCTGTCTCTACTGACAATGCAAAAATTAGCCAGATGTGGTGGCACGTGCCTGTAGTCCCAACTCCTTGGGAGGCTGAGGCAGGAGAATTGTTTGAACCCAGGAGGTGGAGGTTGCAGTGAGCTGAGATTGCGCCACTGTACTCCAGCCCAGGTGACTAAGCCAGTTCATCTCAAAAAAAAAAAAAAAAAAAAAGAAGCTAAATAATCCTTGGGGTAGTTAGATTGTAGATCACTTTTTTCTATTTAAAACTTCTATTTCCCTTAAATTATCATAATTCTATCCAAATAATTTAAAAATCAAACTTTAGTTGATTATTTAAAATAAAAATACATCTTTATATTTTCTGCTTTTCAGTAAATATTTGTGCAAGTAGAGTTAATTAACTCTGGACATTCTGAAAGTATAGGAATTAACTCAGGAAACAATCTTGTACTGAGTCCTATTAAACTTCTGGCCCCACACTAGGCTCTGGGGGCAGAAAGGGGTAGAAAGAAGAGTAAGGCTCTGGCACAGAAGCGGGCATATTGCGGAGGCTATAGGGGAGGAAGTCCCTGGCTCTGTGTAGGGGATTCTGGGACGGTGTTCTGGGCACACGACATTGAGGCAGGCCTGTAGAACGAGATGTGTTTCAGGTGGGAAGCAGGCAGCGGGGCACTTGCCCGCAGTGGGAGCATGTGGCCAAGCCCTAAAGGCCTGGAAGAGTGTGCCGCGTCTGGGGATTGGCCGAGTTGGCTTGTGGTCACTGTGACCTACCACACAAGCTTACACATGGCCGTTGTGTCCTCTGTACTTCCCAGTGTCTGTCTCCTTGCACAAACACATTTGATTTTCAATCATTTGGTTAGGCTCAAGGAAAAATCCTTGAACCCTTGATAATACTTCCACGTGGCTGTGAGCCAGTAAGCATTGTAAATTTCTCCAGATAACTGTGGGTTATCAAAAAAATGACCTTGTGTGTGGCCGAATGTGAGATGGATAGAAGACTGGAAGTGTACTTTCTGGGGCTGCCTGTTATCACACCAAATCACAAAAAATTTTAAATACTTGAAAGCAATAGATTAAGATAGGTATGCAAAAGCTCAGATACTTATCTGAAGGTTATCTGATCTTCCCTAGGTATACTTTTTCACTAGAAATAAGTACCTTCTCAAAGTGCTAAATTCCTTTTATCTGTCCAGATGGATGTAGCAAATGCAACTTCCTATTCAGCAAAGTCCAGCTGCCTCTCCCAGCATGTTCACCTCCACTGGAGGGCACAGGAATTTACATATTAAAGGCTACAAAACTTATTTGGAGACCTGGTTCAGGATGGATTTGGCCTAATTTTTGTATTACGCAAGCTGATCACCCCGATAAACTTCATGGATGGTTATGCCATAGGTCAAGGTGCTTCCTTCTGCTTCAGATTCAGAAGGAAGCACCTTGCTTTGGTTGTTCAAAACAGCACCTTATATAAATACAGCCTGATGAATTGCAGCTTATCAGTTTTGGCAAGACAGACCTAGGGGCTAACTTCTGCCTACAGAATCACACAACAGGATCTCTATGTAAAATGAGCTTACTGTGTCTTTTACATTTGCAGTTACACGGGTCTTGTTGCAATCACCATGAAAGGACTCTCCTATGGATTTGCGGTCCATTCGGGTTATCAGGAGTTCTTCCCTGTAACATGCTTTGTTGGGCTGGGAATGATTGTAAAGTGTGCTGCCAACACAAGTCTTTTATGGTTCTCGTAAATGACTTAAACGCTCAGCTGCTGATGGGGAAAACTGGAAAGCAAATGTCTTCCAAATGCTCAGGCAATGAAAGAATGTTCTAGTGATTTTCACCTAAAGCATGCTCTTTTGTGTACAACAGTAGCCAGAAGTTCATTTTTTTTTGTTTCCATGTTTTGTTTTTAGTTTTGTTATTAAGTCTTACTCTGTCACCCAGGCTGTGCAATCTCGGTTCACTGCAACCTTAGCCTCCCAGGTTCAAGTGATTCTCCTGCCTCAGCCTCCCGTATAGCTGAGATTATGGGCAACTGCCACCACCCCCAGCTATTTTTTTTTTTAGATTTTTAGTAGAGACGGGGTTTCACCACGTCGGCTAGGCTGGTTTTGCACTCCTAATTTCAAATGATCCTCCCGCCTTGGCCTCTCAAAGTGCTGGGATTACAGGGGTGAGCCTCTGTGCCCGGCTCCATGTGTTTTAGACTAAATGGTTTCTCCCCCTTTTTTTTCCTGGCAGATAACAATTGAGTTTCAAAGGCATTTGCTCTCAGTAGGTGTGTTCCACAGACCCAGTTCTTCATTCTTTTGTTTCTCAGCTTTTCCTTCACCTTTACACCTGACATGAAAGCAAGACAGCATGTGGGTGCAATTTCAACTGAGGAAGCCTCAGTTTGCTTTCCTGGTAATTAAAAGTATCCTGAAGCTACTACCCCAGTCTTAAAGAGCAAGATGTCAGGGAGGATGCTCTATACTAGCTTACTGCATCACCTCTGACATGAATGGACCACTGTTTAAGCCTGATACGGTTTAAGACTTTGTTTGCAGGTTAAAAATAAAATAACATCTTTTTTTTTTTTTTTTTTTTTTTGAGATGGAGTTTCGCTCTTGTTACCCTGGCTGGAGTGCAATGGCGCGATCTCGGCTCACCGCAACCTCCGCCTCCTGGGTTCAGGCAATTCTCCTGCCTCAGCCTCCTGAGTAGCTGGGATTATAGGCACGCGCCACCATGCCCAGCTAATTTTTTGTATTTTTAGTAGAGACGGGGTTTCACCATGTTGACCAGGTTGGTCTCGATCTCTCGACCTTGTGATCCACCCGCCTCGGCCTCCCAAAGTGCTGGGATTACAGGCTTGAGCCACCGCGCCTGGCTAAAATAACATCTTTACAAGTTTAATAGAGAGGGCCTAATTTTTCAACAAAATAATTCTCAAAAATATTTTTAAACATTTCTTTTTCTAAGATGAAGGCTTTTCAATGATTATTACTGGATGGACATATATCAATTATGGGACCAGCGTAGGAATGCACATGGTGATTTATGAGACAGTTTCTCCTCCAGGCAGCTTTTAGTCTTCTTATGAAACCTGTCCTTGGAATGTTCTTAACTGAGGTCTGAATCCTTTTGAGAACTATGTGATGGGTATGGACCAGTCTGCCAGAAAAATGTGTATCCATATATAATTTGGATAGAGTGCCTGGAAAGTTCAAGGAACACTGCTATCCTTGGTGAACATCCCAGCAGAGAGGGATGCACCCACCCTTGTTAGGAACTCCTGTTTTTGAACCTAGGCCATTAAGAAGTTCAGAGGATTTCCCATCTGAACTTAAATGACACTCAAGCATAACTTGTCTCTTGCCACCAAATTCTAAATTTAGCTTTCTAAACACTAGGAACAGGTTTCGTAAGGTACTTAATTACTTTCGAGTCTCCCCACACAGTCTGAGCAGAAAAGTGTAAGGGGAGAGTCTCTAGCTGCCATTCTCCTTCACTGTGGTTTAGGGGAGCTCACTGCATACTGATCACCAACCGCCTGTTGAGTTGCTCCATCTGCTGGATGGACCCCGATCTCCGCATGCCATCCGGGGTGGCTGCTGCTGTGGGACGCTGCCAGGTGGTTGTGCGGTTCACGTGGTCCACATAAAAGACCCGCCCGTGGCTGTCAATTCGAGCTTCCCAGTCTAGTTTTAATAAAAAGGCAAAAAGAAAAATCAAGGACAAACCACTGACCCATGTGAAACACATACCACTTCCAGGTCTTCTGCAGGTAGAACTCACCATTGGTTCATGGCGGCAGGCCAGACCCTGTCCACAGCACCTGCCACAACTTCTGGGCACTGGCATGAACTCGGGCGCTCAGAAAACAATTTAATGAACTCAGACTCTCTGCTGGGCCATATTAAACAGTAATTGTGGTTTCTTGATCAAGACCTATGTTAAAATTCTAATAATTTTCTTTTTTTCTTTCTTTTTTTTTTTTTTTTTTTTAGATGGAGTCTTGCTCTGTCACCCAGGCTGGAGTACACGGGCTGGAGTGCAGTGGTGTGATCTAGGCTCACTACAACCTCTGCATCCTGGGTTTGAGCAATTCTCCTGATTCAGCCTCCTGAGTAGCTGGAATTACAGGTGTCCACCACCATGTCCGGCTATTTTTGTATTTTTAGTAGAGATGGGGTTTCACCACGTTGGCCATGGTTGGCCACGCTGGTCTCGAACTCATGACCTCAGGTGATCTGCCTGCCTCGGCCTCCCAAAGTGCTGGAATTATAGGCATGAGCCACCACACCCAGCAAAAATTCTAATAATTTCTAAAGAGGAAATCTAATATTTAATTAATTTATTTCTTTAGATATGTCCATTCTCACTGTCACTCTTGTTGGCTACTCAAGTGACATCCGTGGAAGATTGGAGCATCCTCTGGTGCGAGTTTACACTGTGATGCTGGAGAACCCTTTCTTTGTTAAGTTTAATAGAAGGCCATTAGGTTCAGTGGCCCTCAGTTGAAAACCAGTTTTAACTACTGTTCTAAAATCCTGGATCTGCGAATTTGGATGATATCTGTCTTATATTTAGCAAACTTAATCAACTGCCTTTCCTTTTGAGTGGGTGAATGGAAGGAAATGATTCTTAGGGCTTCAAAACATCCTTCTGATAAGTTGTTAATTAACAGTGCATATTCAACCTGCAGCTGTCAAATATCTCTGGCCACCAAACCAAACCAGTAGCTAGGAAGTACCCTTTTGTTGATAAATAACCATCCCAAACAGTAGAGGGAGCCTGAGATTAAAAAAAAAAAAAGTTCCCTTCCCAAATTAAAAACAAAATAAAACAAAACAAGAAAACGAAAAGGTGGAAGCATGGATGAATCACTACACCGTACATGCAGGGGCTGAGGTGGGGTGAGGTGTGTGGAAAAGAGCTGGAAGCAATGGATTCACATCTGAGCGAAACACAGAAGAGCAATATCTGCTGTACAGAGATGGGCAAAGCTTTAGGAGCCACACATCACATTGTGGAAATAGCAGCAGTGTGATAAAGTTATGCTGAAAATGCTCGAGACTAAAGAAGAAGAAAAAGCAAAAATGACTGCAAAGGGCAGAAAACCATCCAGCCTTTTAAGTGAGAAAAGCCATAGCTTTTGGGAGTAGATCAGATATTGACAGTTCCGTTGAAAACTTATCATTCAGGTAATGACATAGCAACTCTCAATATTTTAAGGGAAACATGTATTTGGCATATTTATGGTTTTATATGTATATAGTGTATCTGTTTGTGGCATTATGACTTATGTCTGACCTGATGGATTGTCAAATAATGCCCAGTGAAAACCAAAGTACTCCTAAACACCAAATTCAATTTATAAGACAAACTGAAGGAAAGATGTAGGCAGATTCTATAAATATGTCCTAGGAGGTTTTGATTAAAATTGATCTAATGATTAATGATAGTCCAGCTGTCAAGTGTCAGATGTAAATGGTAATTAGCTCATAGATGAACTTGTGTATACCTATGATTACTAGGTAATTCATCTTGATTCAGAAAGTTATAAATTTTGATGGATCCCGCTAATATTGGTAAAAGCAATAGGACAATTATTTTTCTTGAATCCAACATGACTGTTATCCAACAAAAAATGAGCATTAGTCTTTGAAGAGCACTGTGTAATTTAAAATTCAACAAACTGGGCAGCACTGAGTCTGAACTAGAAGACTGTGCCACATCCTGTGGACACAGAGCTGAATGACACATGACCCTGCCCTCCAGGAACCTACAGTAAAGAAAGGACTCCTTCACAGGCAGAGGTTGGGTTTTATAAATTAAGGGGAAAAGCTAGAAAATGAAGCTGCAATAATGATAATTTATCACCACACATTTCAATTCCTCACGGAAAAGTGTGGTAAACCCAACAGCTGGGCTCTTTCATCAATACATTAAATATCTGGAATGTATTGTGCTAATTATATACTTATATATATATTCAGAAAATAATAGCTAAGTGTAATCAGAAATTGTGAACATGTTTTCTGGGTTGCTTTGTAAAGAATTTACTTCCACATATTTTGTGACTAAAGAAAAAACATTCAAAATGGAACTTCAGGTGTCAACGTGACTTAAAGGGCTCAGCACCGTGATGCCATGAATTTGTCTAAGCAGCCACCTGAAAACAGTAACTTCATGATGCTGGGGCAAGTTATGGAAGCGCAGGTCAGGTCAATTCATTTGTGACAGAGGGATCTATTGCACACTAAATTATATGTTCTCCACAAAATCCAAGAACAATGTAGAACCTGATAATGTATCATATTTAGTTATCATATTAATAAAGACCTATACAACTGTACATTTTGAACAATTTTAACAAATGCAATACTATCTCATAGCCTAGACCTTTCTCTTGAACTTCCGAATCACATATCCAATTTTCTTCTTCACATCACTACCTAGAAGACATCTCAAATATAAGATGATGGAAACCAAGTGTTAGATCCCACCAAAACCTGCTCTACCTGCAGCCTTCCCTGTTCACCTCAATTGAATCTCGATCCAGAAAGCTAACAATTCTCAGTTGAATCTCGATCCAGAAAGTTAAAAATTCTCAACTGAATCTCGATCCAGAAAGTTAAAAATTCTCAATTGAATCTCGATCCAGAAAGTTAAAAATTCTCAATTGAATCTCGATCCAGAAAGTTAAAATTTTTGATGGATTGCAAACTAATATTAGTTAGGCAACTCCATCTTTGTAGGTTGAAACTCTTAGGTCATTTTTGTTACCTATCTTTCTCTCACATCCATATCCAATCTGTCATCAAATCTTCCTTTAAAATAATACATGTCGAGAATTAGACCACTCCTCACCACCTCTACTGCTCCCACGCTGGCCCAAACTACCATTGTTTGTCACCTGGGTCGCTGCATAAAGACATAATCTTATGTTGAATCTCATGCTTCTATCCTTCCTCTTCCCAATTTATTCCCTACACAGCAACCAAGGCAAACTTTTCAAAAACCTAAGGCAGACAATGTCACTTGTCTGCTCAAAACTCTACAATGTCCTCCTTTCATCCAGAGTAGAAGTCAAAGCCCTTAAGTGGTTTACGTGGCCCTACGTCGTCTGGGCCTTGCTAGCTCCCTGACCACATCACCTGTGCCTTCTCCCTTCCTCAGTCTGCTCCAGACACACTGGTCTCTTGTTCCTCAAACCCACCTGGGTGTTTCCACCTCCTGGCTGGCAGTGGCCATTCCCTGTGCCTGCAAAGCCCCTTCTGCCCAACACTCGCGGGGATAACTCCCTTAACCCTCAGGTGTTGTCTTCTCAATAAAGCCTACTCCCACCACTTGGTTTAAAATTGCAAACCAGCTACCACCACACATTCTCAGAGATCCCTCACCCTGGTCTATTTTTGCTTTTCCATAGCATCTCATATGCTAAGCCAGTTCCTTTTTAACTATTTTATTGTTTGGTAATATGTCTTCCAGACTAGACTGTAAGCTCCATGAGGGCAGGAATCTGTCTATTTTGCTTACTGACAATAGTACCTAGCACAGGGTAAATATTCAATTAGTATTTGTTGAATGAGTATCAGCAATAAAGTAATTCTTGACTATTTGAGATTATTTAACAATATTCAGTTGGTAGGATTCATTAACAATTTTTCTAAGATCTTCCAATGTTATGTGGATTGAAAATAGAAAACTATTTGAAGAAATTTGTTTTCATTTTTGAAAGTGGTTTATATAAAGTAATTCTTTTACAATGAATTTATATACAATTATTTATAATATTTGCATGTATAACTAGTTATCTGTACTGCATAGATTGGAAGTAGATTCACGCACTGAAAGGTTATTTGTTGTTGGGAAACTGTCCCTTTCCTGGAGAGAACCTGCTATACATATTTTTCAAATAAGTGTTACCTAGGAAGTATTTATAGTGATGCTAAAATTTTACTATTCATTTATGGAATGTCCACAAATCAGTGTATAAAGAAAGAAATCAGGCATCAAAAGTTCAAGGACATGATGTTTGGCTTGGCCCTCAAAAACAAATATTGTGTTTCTTTAAATTAGTCCACATATTAAAGACATTTGTTGATTTCTCAGCAACAAATTATAATTGAATAGAGGAGTGGTGTCCTTGTAAAATACAATGCATTACCAAGAATAGATGAATTAAAAAATAACCATTTCTCCTTTTGAAAATTGTAACTGCTTCACGTAAGCATAGGGAAAAGAATGTAAAGAAACACGGGTTCCTTGCATTCTGGAAAGATTTTGTAGTTGTAAAAATCTATCAAATCTTAAATATTATCTTTGCTTGAAAAATAAGTCTAAACCAAAACAGAGATGTTCTTGAATTCATAAACATATCTGATGCTAAGTGAATAATGTCTGGGTGTCAATTTCTTCCCATAAATTTATTAAATGCTATATTATGAGGTTAAAGCTAGAATGGCATCTAGAGACTATCTAGGTCAAACCTTTCATTTAGCAGATGAAGACATTCAAACTTCATTTAAAAAATTTTATAAATGAGAAAACTAAGTCTCTGAGAGATTAAATGGATTTCCCAAGTTCAGATGACTAGTTAGATAATTATTAATTACATGCTACAGTTACCAGGAGAAATGACATTGAATTCTATCTTAAAGATGATATTTTGCCTAGCAACCCCTAGGAACTGCAGAAGAAATCTGAAGCTATTACCTATGGATGCAAGTTATAGTAAGGAAAGTATAAGTTCATGTGCCCAGATGAGTTGAAGTTGTTTCAACATATGGAGATGCCTGTGATGTAACAGATCAAATGGAGAACAACAGGATTATTCTATCTTGAACTGCAAATTTTAAATATAAAATGTAAAATTTGGGACTTAAAGGTCATGAACAGTTTGCAAAGACTAGTCAAGCCTAATAAAGAAATGCTTTCTATTTCAAAGTTGAGAGGTGCTGAAAACACTGTATCATCTCTTCAAGATCACATGGTGAAACCACTAATCAGAAAAACAAAAACAAAAACAAAAAACAAACAAACAGAAAGATCCCAAAAATCCCATCAGTTTTTAAAGTAGGTGTCATGTTGGTTTTTGTTAACAGTGTAAGGCACAGAGTTGGGAAAGACTTTAGATGTTCATACACAAATTCATACTGACCTGCTTAGACTTGATAGGAAGAGTTAAGACACAGATTTTAAAAACTAAAGCTTACTTGGTGGAAGAGGCTCATCGATTGTTGGGTAGTGATGATGTTCAGGCCTCAGGGAAGGAAGCTGGCTTACTGGCTGGGAATTATGGAGTATAGGACATTCACCTACGGACAAGATAGTCAATACATTCAGATTCATTCACTGCCGTGGCAACATCATCAAAAAAGCATGACTGTAAAACCACTACAAAAAACAACCCCCAAAGAGTGGGCAGTCCATCTGTGTGTGTGTCAGTTTGCTATGTTCACAGTCATTTATGAGAGGGGGAAATATTTTTTTTTTAAAAAAAGAAGAAAATCCAAACATTTCATAACTAATGATCTGTGCCACACAGTCCAATATGTAGGATTTGAGTCTGATTCTGTAACGACCCGAATTTCCTGAATCAGAAGGTGGCACCAGAAAGGAACACAAGAGAAAATTAGCAGAGCCTGATTTTAGCCCCGTGGAGGAAATAGGTCTGTTTGGGGGAAACGCAGCGTTTTATAAGGTTCCATAAAAGCTCCTTGGGCTTGTGCAAAACGATACCTCCTCGTTTGGATAAGTTTCATCACAGGGCTGCCGAAAGGCTGTTTTTCAGGTTTTTGAGGGGAATGAACTCTTAGATGGTGCCTTTCCAAGACAGGTCAAGGAGCTGGTGAGTCAAGAATGTAAATTCCTGCAGTAGGAAAGCTAGAGGCTGGGGGGTGAGGGGGGAAGCCAAGGTGCTGAGGGATCTCAGGACTGTCCGGATTATTTTGAAGAGAAATCAGACAAGCCAGGGTGCTCTGGAAAGAGGAAAGGACAAGAGACAAAGGAAATAGATAAAAAGCAGAAAGACCGTGACAGGAAAGCTCAAAACACAGAAGTGGGAAAGGAGGAAGAAGAAAGACAGACACGGAGAAATTTTAGAAATAAACATTATATCCACAGGATGCATGCCTCAGATTATTAAAAGGAAACCCACAACAGCCATAGCTCATATTGTTCTCAGTTCAGACTTATAATGAACTGAACAATGTTCTGAAGTGGTGTCCTCAGGCATGTGGAGCAGCCATGCAGAAGGCAGGCCTGCAGCACCAGCTGCTTGGGTCACATAATCAGAGGTCAGTGCTTTTGATCTTTGCAGGGCCAGAAGGGCCCAGGAAAAAGGACAGCCAGCTATTAGAAGGTTCCTCCTGCCTCACACTATGCTGGTTTTCTTGCAAAAGCCTCTTAGGGCCAGAGGGCAGAGGTCAGGCCTTTTCCTTCTGTCCTCTGCTGATGGAAATATCAAGTGTTCCATTATCCGCTGGGTCAAAAAGGAGAGGGACTGAAAAATGGCGGTCAAATGGTTGTCAGATCTCAGATGCTGAATATTTCCTAGAATAACCGCACATGGAAAGGATGATTATTTCTTCTCATTCTAGTTCTATAGACCTGATCAAAAATAAAAATAAGTTAATTTAGGAAGAAAGGTGGGTTTAATGTTCTGATTTAATTCCTAGAGCTAACTGGCAAACAGAAGGAGAGGTATATTCAGTAACAAAGGGTCCTTTTACATGTTGAATATATAACATTATTTGTTGAGCAAATTCTGGTATGTTACTCAAATCCTCTGGGTTCTTAGAGACACTAATGGAAAATAAGGAAGTTTTCCCTCATGCTGGCACCCAGTTCCTTGTGGACAGACTGCTGTTCCAAAGATGGGTTCTGTGTTTAAGTGGATACCACACTCATGTTTGTTTGTATATGTGTTTAGTGTCAGAAATTAAACAAAACCATGGTACAGTTGTTATGTCATCAGCTGCTGCAGTTTAAATTTAGTTTCTTTAAAAACAGCAATTGACTTACCTCTTGAAATTAATGCAACCAATCGGGTTAATTACTCCTCCAAGCTAGTGGAAATACAATACTGTTGACTGCCTGGGGTTAATGGAGCTGATCCCACCTGCTTGTGAACCCCAAGCAAATGCAATGATGGGACCGACATATCTCAGCCGACTGAATGGATGGAGGCACTGAAGAAGCAAGCAGTTCTATTCTGCACAAGGACGGGGCTGCACATCATTACCCTGGCCTCAAACACAAAGCAAGTGTTGAAACCCTCCAGAACCTTCCAGAAGATTTATTTCTCAGCTAAAAGCGACGTCCTTTTAAATTCCCTTCTGTTTTTAAATAATATGACCTAATTGTAGAGAAAAATAGGTTGCCTCACATATTATTTGAAGCAAAGTGATTAATGCGAAATATTTTCCTTGCATTACAAAGTGCAGGAAATGCAAATTCAAAGGATTGTTTTGGATGCTTTATACAACACAGTTTAATCAGTTAACCTCACTGCCTGTCTGCCTGGAAAAACCCTCACTTGGTGGGAGGCAGAGTAGTTTTGTAGTATCATCTCATTTAATTTTCTCAACAAACTTCGAGAGACATTCTATAATTATACCCATTTTGCACATGAGAAAACTGAGGCACATAGAAGCTAGGTGACTTGGTGTGGAAGTGGGAGGACTGAATATAAAGCAAGGAGGCCTGACTCCAGGGTCTGAGCTCATATCCATGACATTATATTACTCTTTTCATTCATCAGCAGAAGGTCTTTTAGGAACTATTTTAAATTGAACTTTTAAAAAGGAGGTATTTATAGAAGGAAATGAAGCAAAAAATATGAAAAGAACACTAGCCTGTATGGTTGTCAGTTCAGACTTAGAACAGTGTTCTTCCATAAATTGCTGCAGCCTCATTTACGTGGCATGCAGACAACAAATCCACCCGGGTTAATCTAATGCAGTTTCTTTTTTTCTTTTTCCTTTTTGAGGCAGAGTTCCACTCTTGTTGCCCAGGCTGGAGTGCAATGGTGCGGTTTCGGCTCACCTCTGCCTCCCAGGTTCAAGTGATTCTCCTGCCTCAGCCTCCTGAGTAGCTGAGATTACAGGCGCCCGCCACCGTGCCTGGCCAATTTTTAAAATATATTTTAGTAGAGATGGGGTTTCACCTCGTTGACCAGGCTGGTCTTGAACTCCTGACCTCAGGCGATTCACCTGCCTCAGCCTCCCAAAGTGCTGGGATTACAGGTGTGAGCCACCACACCCAGCCAACTAGTGCAGTTTCTACAGTGAAGGAATTTGCAATCTTAGAAGTCAAAGTGAAGGGGTGATAGGATTTCTTTCTTTCTTTCTTTCTTTTTTTTTTTTTTGAGACGGAGTTTTGCTCTTGTTACCCTGGCTGGAGTGCAATGGCGCGATCTCGGCTCACCGCAACCTCCGCCTCCTGGGTTCAGGCAATTCTCCTGTCTCAGCCTCCTGAGTGGCTGGGATTACAGGCACACGCCACCATGCCCAGCTAATTTTTAGTATTTTTAGTAGAGACGGGGTTTCACCATGTTGACCAGGATGGTCTCGATCTCTTGACCTCGTGATCCACCCGCCTCGGCCTCCCAAAGTGCTGGGATTACAGGCTTGAGCCACCGCGCCCAGCCTAGGATTTCTTATGGAAGCAGAGGGCACCCACACAATCACATATCAGGCAGGTCATGTCAAAGCCTTGCTTTCTTGAAGCACCTGCTGTTGTGAAATCTAGTGGCAAGTGAGGGACAGTCCCACAATGTAGACACTGTTAGCTCGGGGACTCACTGCTGAGGTGGGGAAGGCTGGCTAGGAAGAAGTCACATGCCAGCACATGCACGGCCTTCAGGAGATCAAGAGACCCTTTGGGAATCTTCCTATTTCCCATTGTGATCACTATAGTGCAGGATGTAGGTGCTTCTTAACCTTTTCTGAGTTTATATTCTGCAGAGTTCAGGAACTTAGACATTTCTTTAGAAAGTGCCAATGCCAATGCAGAGATGTCTACTGTGGCCCTGAACACTTCCTGCTTTTCCATCTGCTAGACTGTTAGCCTCTCAAGGGCATGGACATGCCTTTTTTGTTTGTAAAACATGCTCTTACATAAATTTACACTGAGCCAGTTTTCAATTTACAATGTATAGATTACCTCCCAACATGGGGGCCAAAAGACGGTGTACACTAAAACAGGGTTATATGGCTCTAAGCTAAGAAAAGTGTCAGTACATTTTTCAATACTAAAAAAATAAGTCTTTTAGTGACAACAGTTATTTGATTGTTTACCTCTTGACCTACAAAGCCTAAAATATTTACTATCCGGTTATTTATAGAAAAAGTTTGCAGACCTCCGTAATCTGACATCCTTGCCAGATCCTACCTGTGCCTTTTATGTGGGAATCCCCCATCTCCTTTTGATGTATTATTTTTCATTAGGCTGTAATTATTGAGTAAGGTCCATACATCACCTGATGCCAATCCATCTTCCTGTGCCCAGCACATTACATCTGGCCTAGAATAAAGGAGGGCCTCAAAACATCCTCGTCAAAGAAAGGCATTTCCCATTCCATTCTCCTCCCAGGAGGGATTCTCCATCCCACTCCTCGTGGGTGCCTTTCCATGCTGTTTTACCTTTCTGCCTGCGTTTCTTTTTCTCTACCAACTTCCTTGCGTTTCTCATTATCGCACATGCCACCTTCTCTCACTCTTTTTCTGAAATGTAGAAGCGGGCATTATTGATACTTAAAATTATTTTTTTAATGCTCACTTTAGCTCCTGTTCAAAAAAATTTGTAGGCACCAGGGGTTTGTTTAGGTGCTAAGTATTCAAACACAAAGAAACACGACTCTGGCCCTTGATGAGCTTACAATCTAGAGAAAATATCCCTGTCTTTTGTTGGAGGCTAATTTCAACAGCAGAATAGCAAAATAGCAGAGGCTATGTTTTTCTCTTTTAAAACAACTGAATTATTTCACTTATTATGTGACTTTTCAATTTTTTTTCCCCATTGTGCCACTGTCACTTGACCGGAAGATAGTTCCCACTTGTGGATAAGGAAATGCAAATTAATTTCACATATAATTCCACAGGCATGACTAAAAAAAAAAATCTTTGTTTAAAACACAGAATACATTTTAAAACTAATGGTGGCAGCTTTTGGATTCGATTCTTATTGGAAACAAAGTGATTTATACACAATCGTGTTATTTTTCCCTTCCATTAGCCAGAATAGCAAACAACAACAACAACAACAACAAAACAAAACTAACAGTAACAAGAATTGAGTGGACACAAATAATGACAAATATATGTAGGCTAGACATACCTACATGTATGTACACAGGCTAGTTGAGTTCTAAAACAGAGGTAAAAATCTGTTCTTCAACTAATATTAACATCTCTTGCTAATCTTCCATGTGCTTTGAAAGTCAGCAGATAGTTACACATTATCCATTTAATGTAGATAGATAATTTCCCACAAGTATCATTTGACACTAGTCTTGGGGCTCTGGCTGCTGTCAAGACTAGGATAACATGTACACTAACCAGTTCTGGTGACTAGTTGAAACAAACATAGCAGCACACATACAAGTGCACGCTCACATCCAACCAGTCGGAATTCCTGGTGTGTATCTGAGACATGGTGGGGTGTCAGCTACTCACAGTCATCTATACTCATACACAGATACACATGCACACATATATGTACAAGACAGGCATACATTGCTCCAGCAACCCCGTTTCAGACCGATTCCCCGCCCCTCTTGTTTTTAAACTCTGTTGCTGACACCTGTGTCCCCCTGACGGTCCTATTCTCACTCTGATCAGGTTTGAGGTCTAACCTTCTCTCCGATTGCTTGGACCTGCCACGGGGGATTCCAGACCTTCCGGGGTTCTTTCCACGTGCCCGCCAGGGGCGGCCAGCTCGTCTTGCCACGGCCCAGCGCCGTTTGTGGACTCCGGGTCCAGCTCAGGGCTCTGCATGGAGTCGGGCACCGACTCGAACGCGCTGTTCTCCTCGTCGTCGTCGTCTTGCGAGGAGAAGACCGTGCTCTCGGAGATCTTGGCGCTGTCTACCGAGGAGAAGCGCGTGTGGCTGGCGAACCTGTTGCCGTTGTAGCAGGAGGGGCTGTAGCAGGAGGCGCTGTAGCAGGAGCTGCTGTAGCAGGACGTGCTGTAGCACGAGGAGCTGTAGCACGAGGGGCTGCAGCAGGACGCGTCACAGCCCTCGCAGCTGTGGTCCCCGCCTTGCCTGGGGCTGGAGTCGCTCTCGCTCCCGGTGCTGGGGTGCGTGTCGCCGTCCGGGGCCGCGCCGTTGGCCAGGCTGGGGAAGTGGTCCCCGGTGTGGCCGGGGGGCGCCGTGCCTGGAGTAGCCCCCTCGGGCTCTTCTCCGTCCTCTTCCAGGGCGGACGGGTCAGCGGCCACCGTGTCCACCTCACTGAGCCCGTCCTTCTCCGAGGAGTCCTTTAGGGTGGACTCCTCCGCGCCGTCCTCGTCCTCCGCCACGCTGCTGCCCTGGGCCGAGGGCATGCTGTGCAGCAGGGTGTGGATGCGGATGTAGTGTGTCCTCGGGGTCTCGGGGTCCCCACAGGCCGACGCGATCACTGTCTCCAGCTCGGACACAGGCAAGGAGCAGGGCCTGCTTTTTCTCTTCACGGAGGCCCGCAGCTGTAGCCTGCCCTCTCCCTGCTCCAGGGCAGACACATCTCCCACCTCCTCCTCCCGCTCCTTCTCTTCCTCCCTTCCAGCCAGGCTCTGTGCGGTGGTTTCCTCCTCCACGTGCTCCTCCTTGGTGCTGGCTGGGACGTCACCGTCTTCCAGCAGCAGTGCGGACGCCTCCTCACCCAGGTCCAGCTGCTCGGCCAGCTCTTCTGCACTCGGGGCAGGCTGGATGTCCTTTTGCACCTGGGCCAGGAGCTCCCCAGCTCCTTCAGGTCCCACAGAGACCATGCCCTGGTCTCCTGTCTCTGTGATAATTGCTGCTTCCTCAGTTGTTCTGGAAAGCTCCATGCTCTGGTTCCCTGGACCATCAAGGACACTGCCCTCACCCAGCTGCTCTGGCTTCCAGCTCTCAGAGGGCTCCGGGGCCTCAGCACGAGGATCCCCACTGCCGTTTTCCACCACATTGTTCATGGGGCTGTCCTGAATTTGGGCTGACTCAGGCTCCGTACTCAGGGAAATCTCCTCATCATCTGCTGGAAAGAAGAAAAACATGTCATTTCTCCCAGAACAGAGCATCGTGGTGTTAGAATACTCTGTGGGACATGTAAGCCATCACTAAGGGATATCTACATTAGGATATTGAATGTAGGTTGATGAGAGTTTCTCACTGGCCAGAGCTCTAGTGAGAGATTCTGTAAGAATGAGTTCTTGCTATGTTAACAACTTGCAGTCATGGATATATTTCTGAAATCTGTTTCAAGGGAATTCATCTTTTGGTTAAAATGCCCAAAGCCTAGCACTAATGCAGTTCTGGGCACATAGTAGGTGCTCAACAGTGTTTGACACACAGAATAACTTCCAGAGATGAGGGCGGTAGTGGTGTTATTTATAGCTCCTTAATGATTATATTTAGTTAATTCTATTTGCTCAGAATGTTTTCCTATGCTCAGGTCCTGCAGGGTGACATAAAGGTAAGCAGGGTTCTCAGGCAACCAGAGAGAAGCAAAAGGCTGGACGAAGAATGGGAGCAACGATAGTCATTTAATAGCTCAGGCTGGGCTGTTTCCAACATTTGGAGTTTATTCCAATAAAAAAATGAACAAGGTCTTCATCCCAAGCAGTCATTCAAGGGATAGCAGCCAGTGTCTAACTCTACCTTCCTGCAGCTGCTCTACTGGATTCCTGCCAGATGTGAACTTCCCACTTCAAACGCACTAGTGCAATTCACTAGTCAAAGAAAAACACTTTCTCTGGTGAGCTGTAAAGCTGTCCTTATGGCTACACCAAAGGAAGAGTCAGTTTTATTCTCAGAATGTAGAAAAAGGCTGAATTTGAAAAGACAAAACAGACAAGGGGTTTTCTTACAATCTAAGTTGTATGTTGCCACAGGAAAGTACACCCGAAGTTTAATGAGTGGGTAGTGATAAACTCCAGCTCTAAGTTCTCAAGAGCTTCATTAGATTTAATAGAAACTTGTAAATGGTCCAGGAGGTCCTAACAGTTCTCAGTGTGATCTATATTGAGATGTATGAAGGCTGCAGAAGCAGAGCAGAAGTAGAATTATGAGGCATCCTATCATTCTTATTTGGAAATCTGCTTTAGCATTAAATAAAACATTGGATGATTCTTGAGTTTTCTGTCCTATTTTTCATTTTTTCTGTGATATTATAAAAATTCATTGTATAATTATAGTTCTTCAACATGGCATTTGCCAGCAACTGGCTGGTCTATATTTAGTTACTAGGTAGAAAGATGTTTCATGTTCATTCATTCATTCATGTATGTGATGATTAAACACCTATATGGGTGCCAGGAATAGGATGATAAATAAGACAGAGCTCCCTATCCATGTTGGCCTCATTGTTAATCTTCCGTCCACTGTCCACCCTCTACCTTTGGGTCACTAGAATGAAGAGGAACCTCTCCATCAAGGGGACAGCAACCTGGCTTCCGGAATAGATCACTGGATTCTGGGCCTCAAATGGAGAAGATAGAGAGCCATAAAACCTAAAGCCTAGGATATGTCTGGAGAGAACCATGGTTATTGTTTTTTAGAGAATGGAACCACACTTATGACACTAGCCTAGGACAAGACATGAAGTTCATGCTGAAAATACCTGGGTGGATGGAGGAAGTGATCTCAAATCGGAATTGCAGCTGTCCACTCACATGATCTGTTGGAAGCCTGCGGCCAAGTGTGTAGCTGACCACCCTATCCCTAGAAGGAAATAAGCACCATCACAGATCTGGTCAATACCTCTGCTCCTAATGATCATGCAGTGTGCTTTCTACACCAGTGGGTGAGGCACGCAAGCCCAGGGAAGTCTTGATGTTCTCAACAGCAATGCAAAACTGTAAGGAAGTCCTTAGTGAATACAGATGCCTCTCAGCCTCCCATGGATTACGACCTGATAAACCCATCAAAAGCTGACAATACCGGCAAGTCAAAAATGCATTCGATACATTTATTAAATATGCATTTAAATGCATTTAATACATCTAGCCTACCAAACATCATAGCTTAGCCTAGCCTACCTTAAAAGTGCTCGGAACACTGACATTAGCCTAAAGGTAAGCAAAATCATGTAACACAAAAACTATTTTATAATAAAGCACTGGATATCTCACATAATTTACTGAATACAGTATACTGCAGAGTCCAGTGTCACTTGTTTACCCTGTGATCATGTGGCTGACTGGGAGCTGTGGCTTGCTGCTGCTGCCAGCATCACAAAAGTATCATGCTGGATATTGCTAGCCTGGGAAAAGATCAAAATTCTAAATTCAATGTACGTTTTCTGCTAAATTCATATAGCGTTCGCACCGTTGTAAAGTAAAAACATGGTTAAGTTCAAGTGAGTGTCCGTATTCTAAAGCAGGGGTAGGCAAACTACAGCCCATGGGCTAAATCTGGCCCACCACCTGTCTTTGTGTGCTGGTGAGCTTTTTACATTTTAAATGGTTGGAAAAAGAAACAAAAGAGTAACATTTTGTAGCATGTAAAAATTAGATGAAATTCAAATTTCAGCGCCCGTAAATAAAGTTTTATTGGAGCACGGCCATGCTTGTTAGCTTACGGATTGTCTGCGGCAACTTTCATGCTATACTGGCAGAGCTAAGTAGTTTAGACATGGACTGTGGGCCTTGCAAAGCCTAAAATATTTACTACCTGGCCTTGTACAAATATAGTTGGCCAACCTGTGCTCTAAAACAGAGAGAGAGAGAGAGAGAGAGAGAGAGAGAGAATAAAAAAACACAAGGATGTCCTTGGCCTGCTTTTCCTGTGCAAACTGCCATTTTCCAAATATGTCCTCAATGATGGACAGTGCCAGCAGATGCGTATCCTGTGGTATATATGTAATGTCTAAGAAAGGGTGCTGTCATGGTTACTGGAGAGTCTGTGGGAACTACAGAACGGCACCTGCTCCAGGACGGAGCAGAGCAAGACTCGTGGGCTGGGTTCTTTGGCTTGTGACTTCCACTTAACACCAATTGTGGGCTCCCACATGGAGACATCCTGAGTCTCCATCCTGGACTTCTGTGCCATCCCCTTTACCCACTCACAGCAATTTATAAAAAGAAAACTTTAATTATAAAAATAAATTATAAACCCTTTCTTATAAATTATAAGAAATTTATAATTTCTTAATTATAAAAAGAAATTACAAAAAGTAATTTTTTTTCTTTTACAAAAAGTGAACGGAAAACTTTCTAGAGGCAATCAACCTGAAACTTGGTGTTATATTATCATTAACAATATAGCTTCAGCCTAGTAAATTGCCCCTCACCTTGGCCTAAATAGGAAGAGTGACTACCTTAGGATATAAAGGAGTTAACAAACCCAGGGACCCAGTAATAACAAACAGCCCCAAACCAGTCATTATTCAGATGACCCTGTATTTATTTCATTTATTAATTTGTGACATGAAAACAAAAAGATAAATCACTGGCTGATAGTGTTTTAATGTTTCTTTCTGGAAAACACTGGCATTATTAGACAAACAACATGAATCCCAACAAGCCCCTGACTTAAAATTGTTCTTTGATAAGCCATAATTTGGTGTTTGGAGTTCCTCAGAAGTCAATTAAGTAAAGCATTATATGCAGAAAAAAAAAAACAACAACCAGGATGAGTCTCAGTATTCTGTCTATTTAGAAAGAGCCTGGGTCAATATTATGAAGTAGGTCTATTACGACCAAAGTCATCCTGAACCCAAAACTTAACTGAAATCAGGGGAGGCCTAAAGACAATTTATTACGCTTTGCATTTACTTTCTGGGCTTTTATTTCCTTTGCTTTTCACCCACATAACAAATATTTTTTGAGCCCCTGCATGTGAAAGGTGCTGCAGTTGATACAAAGCATGTCATACGTCGCCTCTGCCTTTAAATAGCTTATGTCCAGCTATGGGCATAAGGTAGGACCTCTAAATAATGAATGGTTCAAGGCAGCTGGTGACACTTGAACGCGAAGGTGAGATGGTTAGAGTTAGAGACAGAGAGCCAACTGAAGCCTGGGATGTTAGGGACCCAGGAATGGAGGGAACATTGGAAATGAGAGTGCCTGTGTGCCCAGAGAGGAAAGGCGCAAATATCTGAGGACAGGGAGGGAGCCGATACAGATGGAGCCAAACGTTTCAGAAAGGATGCAGGGGGCTTTGTGGGGAGTGCGTGTGCAGAGGGCAGAGGGAAGCTGCAAAGTGGATTCGCTTTTGTTATGGGTGCACTCTGGGGTTCTGCCATGGCTCTGGCTGCATAGCTACTGCTTCCATGGCCACAGCCCCAAGACTCTGCTCCTACCCATGTTGGGACACCTCTGGAAGGGGCAGCACTGCAAAAGTGGCCACCAGGGTCTGTGGAGGCAGAAGGCTTTGGAGGAGGAGCTGCTCTGCCATGCCATAACCAGGCGGCCTGGCATCCCATCAAAGAGGGTGGGAGGAAAACGCCTCCATGGCTTGCCGCGGCTGCCTTTTTGGAGAGGTCTAAGCTCAATCACACTCCATCTGTGCTCTCCATTTCCCCAGGTGGCAGGAACACTGGGAAAATCATAGCTAACCTTCTGGTCTGGCACACCCTTTTCCACCTCAGGTACTTGCTTTCAGCTGGGCATGTGCCTTTCCAGGGTGGGAGGCTGGGAGAGCAGGACAGTGCCAAGAAGGTAACAGCTGGCAGCTTGGGCTTAGGAGAGAACTCAGCATGGGAGGGCAGAGGGGTTCTGTGGCTGCAGCAAGCTGGGGAGAGAAGTTCTGTTCCACCGGTACGAATCGCTAATGCATGCTGGGTGGTGGTGCACTGGGTGCTGGGGTAGAAAGAATCCTACACAACCCCTGTTTTCATTCTCCAGCCCACCCCCTGGCAGAGGTGTTGGCAGCCAGTAGGGCAGAGAAGGAGAGAAATGAAAAGTGTGGCCCACGATAAACTAGAGAATCTATCCCAGGAACCCTGAAAGAAGCCTGTTGTACAGGGGTGGACCTTGGGCTTTGGAGAGACACAGGTGTGAGTCTGACACTGCCTGCATCTCTGCCACCCACAAGCCTTGGGCTTACATAATTATTGATCATTTTGAAGGCTTGTTTTCTCCTGGAGGAAGCATTATGAGGACTAAATGAAATAAAAAAGATTACAAGGAATACCATTTTCTTCTGAGTTCCTACTACATGCCAGTGACTGTGTTAGGTTCTTTATGAACACTTTTTGTCTGTTTAATCCTCACGACCATGACTGGCAGTGCAAATACTGTGTATGACATGTGGCTGTAGCTCCATAAACTCAGCTCCCTTTGGCTGGAGAGTTAATGGCAGGCCTCTGTGTACCCCGCTGAATATCTGCCATCAGGTTCCAATTATTAATAAGTGTCCTTATGATAATCATCAGTGATTCCAAAGTCCTAATAATCCAAACAACTTTAAATTAAGACATTTGGAAATTCTGCCTATTTTTTCTCATTCTTTTGCTATCTTTGTAAGGGTTACATTGTTAAGTATATGTTTATCGATAGAAAGCTTTATTCAGTGTTTTGAAATGTAGTCCCTGTCACCTAAAGATATACGTATTTACATAGGGCTGTTATGGGTCATAGTCCACTTTAATGAGAACCATGAGTGGACATGAATGTAAAAGAGACAAAACACAGAAACACATTCTCATATACAACTGAATTCTATGAGCATCTTAATTGCTGTCATTCCATGAGAATCATGCTTTCAAATTCTCATCCATGTTATCTAGCATCTGCAGATACTAGCATCTTCTAAGTAAGACACTCTACAGTAGTTACCTGGTATTTCATCTTGTTATGGAAATGTCACATATGATTAAATCTTACGGCCAGGCGCAGTGGCTCAAGCCTATAATCCCAGCACTTTGGGAGGCCGAGGCGGGTGGATCATGAGTCAAGAGATTGAGACCATCCTGTTCAACATGGTGAAACCCCGTCTCTACTAAAAATACAAAAAATTAGCTGGGCATGGTGGCACGTGCCTGTAATCCCAGCTACTCAGGAGGCTGAGGCAGGAGATTGCCTGAACCCAGGAGGTGGAGGTTGTGGTGAGCCGAGATCACGCCATTGCACTCCAGCCAGGGTAACAAGAACGAAACTCCGTCTCAAAAAAAAAAAAAAAAAAAAAAAATCGTACATACCAGACTGGCATATGAATGAAATAATATTCTTCATAGTAAAACAAACTTTAGTTTCTATCTGTACAGAAAAATGCCCCATTGAGGGCTTCTTTTAATACTGTTTCATACTTTTAATAGCATTTTTTGATCTCTTGGGTAAGTAACCAGTGTTACACAATGAAGTGGAAAGGGAAGAGTTTGTTTAATAGAACAAACACTTAGGTTGGCTCAGGCAACATAATTAGTAAGAAAAGCTAAGGAAATATAATGACACCAGTTTGACTCTCTGGGAGAGTGTACTACTGCAGCCTACAGGCCACCTTTGGGCACAGGCTGTTGGCGGGAACCTAGTGATAGTAGGAGCTCAGTCACAGGCTTACCCTATGGCGTGTCTCTCCAGGAGTCTTTGAACGGGCATCGACAGCTTTCCCAAGAAGCGCTTGATGATGGGGCGGCTCTTGGCAAACTTGTCCTTCACCTCAATTTCCAGCACGTCAGTGGGCAAGGACACAAAACTGAATTGCTGCAATGAAAGAATATGTCACATTAATTAACTGAGAGGTTGGAGGGCTGGCCAATTCCCAGTCCATCTGCCTTGATGCTGCCCCTGTAAAACACCCCAGCTATAATGTACATTTATATAAAGGTCTTAGAAATGTGGTGAGCCCTGTTTACTCAGTAAATGAGGGGCAGTGATAAGATGCTTCTCAGGGCTTAAAAATAGGGTTATTCTTTGAGATTCAAACAGGAAAATCAGCACACTTTAAAGAGAAAGAATGCTACCAAAGCCTCACCATACTTGATTGAAGGTATTATCATATTTAAAGAAGGAACAAGCACAAACTCACCTGTAATTAAGAAAATGTACTTTAAATCAACAATACAATATATTTTTTCGTGATTATGATGGAAGGGATTTCTAAAAGTTTGGTAATACCCTGCATCCTTGATAGGGGGAAGAGACAAGAATTCTCACACTATTTTGGTGGGAATGCAAATTGATTTGACTTTTGGGAAGGAAACTGGCCATATTTACTGGCATTTAAACTGCAACTCCCTTCAACCTAGAATTGTATTTTTATGGGTTTTCCTTCTGGATCAACTTGCACAAGTGTGCAAAAGATACATTTAACAAGGATGCTTATTGGAACATTACTAGCAATAGCAAAAGACTGGGGAAAAACCCAGAACTGTTTACAAATAGGAAACTGGTTAAGCGAAGGCTGATAAATGTTTGAAACTGAGAACTCTGCCATCGTCAAAAAGAAAGGGACAAATTGACATGTACCGACATAAAAAGACACCTGACAAATGAAGTGAAAAAGCAAAGTGCAGATGAATATGAAGAGTAGGATCCCATTTGTACTTTGAACTGCAGAGAAAATGTCTGGAGGGGCACACTCCAAACTGAACTCCAGGAAGTGGGCTGGTAGGGAAGGGAGAAAGCAGGTCTTTTACATTTTACTTCATTTGATTCTAAAGTACTCATTTGTTAGCCGGCTGTGGGCACCTGTAATCCCATCTACTTGGGAGGCTGAGGCAGAGAATCCCTTGAACCTGGGAGGCAGAGGCTGCAGTGAGCTGATACTTGCACTACCAGTACTCTAGCCAGGGCAACAGAGAGAGACAGAGACTCTGTCTCAAAACAATATACACAAAAGTTAAAAAAAACAGTATTCGTTTGTTAAATAGTGTACGGTGTGACTTTTAAAATCAAACACCAACAATTAAAGAAAGACCGTGACCCTTAGAAGTTGGCTTGGCCAATATTAAAAGTGCAAAAATGAGACTTGGGAAGGTAAATGTTGACATTGCTCAGCCCAAACTATCTGGGAGGAGGAAGTCTTAATAATGTTACAGTACCCTTAATCAAGGGCTGTGAAACACCTGAAATAGATACATATTTTCTTTTATTCTGATGAATCCTAACAGCAATCTTTCAACTTTGGTTGATTTCTATTTATAGAGATTAAATATGTCGGGCATAATAATGCGAATATCTTCTCTGTGGCAGTCAGGATGAGCTGGCATCCTGATGCTGCACTAACCGCCAACTTCCAAGTCTCAGGGGCTTTAACGTGTATTTCTTGCTCACATTCTCACTGCGGGCTGATGGAGCAGACACCCTCTTGAGCATCACCAGTCACAGTGACAGAGGCAAAGAGAGTTCCTCCTGCAAATAAGTATTCAATTCCAAACACAGCTCCTCAGAACTAGACACAGGCTCCAGTCACCCTCAGGAAACAGGGAATATAATCCTATAGGGCGCCTGGGAGGCAGAGAGCAGAAATATTTGACAACCAGTACTAATGAGTTCCACAGTGACCATGCAGTACGTCTGATTTCTATTGTAAATTAGTTTTAGTTAACTCCTATACAACTCCTAAGAACTAATCATTCCCAGTACTGAGAAAACTTAATTATGGGCATGTCAAGTTTGAGGATCAAACCCAGGAATAAGTACTACTCTAAAAAGGCCTAAGTGAGAATCCAGCCCTGCTGACTGTCTCAGGTCCTTAAAACTCTATTTTTGGTCCAGTTATTCCATTCTGGAGTGCGTCGTATCCTCTAACCTAAATGCCCAACAATAGGTTAGGTACATTGTGATATATACATATAATAGTTTATACTTTTCTAAATTATAATTTATATATAAGTATGTATAATTACATGTAACACTAAATGCTAATAAGATGGAAAATGCTTGTTTTGCAGTGTTAAGTGACAAAAGCAAGAAACCACAGTTCATGATCACAATAACAGGAATTAAGTGAATTAAAAAAACACTGAAAAAGGGACAGCAGATTTTAATAGCAGTTGTTTTACCAATTAAGAATATATTTCCTCCATTTCGTTTTGCTGTATTTTCCATGCTTTCTATAATGACCTATTATTTTCACAAAGAAAAACATAATCATCTTTATTAAAATGAGACTATTTCTACCTACAGAAATTGAACTTAATAAAATTAAAACAGGGTAACTAACTAAAGGAAATATTTAATTGGCGATTATGTAAACTGGTAGCAGTTGCATAATGAGCAATTTAGGCAGTGATGAGGGGAGTGTTGGTAAATAAAGGAGGGTAAAGGTGATCCATTCATTCATAAACACTTGTTGGGCACTGGCTCTGAGCTGGGTGCTGGGACACAGCTACCACCCTTAAGTGCTGGAGAGCTGGGGCCACAGCCTCTAACTTTAGACTTCAGAGTCTTACATTGCAGGCAGGCAATGACAAAGCAGAAGATGCTGTAGTGAGCTTCCCAAAGGCTCAGCCTGATGGACAGGTAGACACGATTTCCCGGAGGACACAATGCTTTAACTGAGCCTTAAAAAATGAGCAACAGGCTGGGCATGGTGACTCATGCCTGTAATCCCAGCACTTTGGGAGGCTGAGGCAGGTGGATCACAAGATCAGGAGTTCAAGACCAGCCTGGTAAGATGGCGAAACCCTGTCTCTGCTAAAAAGTACGAAAATAGCTGGGCGCGGTGGCAGACACCTGTAATCCCAGCTATTTGGGAGGCTGAGGCAGGAGAATTGCTTGAACCCAGGTAGCGGAGGTTGCAGTGAGCTGACATGGTGCCACTGCACTCCAGCCTGGGTGACAGAGTGAGACTCCATCTCAAAAAAAGAAAAAAAATGAGCAAGAATCGGTGGGATGGAGAAGGGGTGGGTGGGAGGAATATTCCAGGTAGAGGGGTGCCATGGGCAAGGGCTAAAGTTTACAGAGCACATGAGTCCCTGGGGTAACTGCAGGTGGCTTACTACATCTGGATCGTACTGGAGGATGTTGTGGATGAAACTGAATACATATGTAGAATCCAGATCATGAACAGCTGCTGGATAGAGCTTGGACTTCTCTTGAAGGCATCTGGAAGCAACTGAAGGATCTGCACCATGGAAATGACACACTCAGATCTGCATTGCAGAGAAGTCACTGCGGCAGTGCTGTTGGTGGCCCATAGATGGGTCAGGCCTGGGGGAGGCAGATCAGAGTGTGTGGGAGACTAGCAGGCAAGGAGAGGAGGGTGGCAGAGTGTGGACTGGTTAAATGTCAGTGAGAGCTACGGCATGTGGGAGAGGAAGAGGTCACAAATTCCTGAGCCTGGATTCCCTAAGTTGAGGACATGTGGGAGGAGGGACATAGCTAGGAGGGCAGAGAGGGGCTGAATGACTGAGTGTCCCAAAGCCATGAAGGAACAGAATGATGGAAATAGGGGCCTGGGTATGGAAGATAGAAGACTGTACATGGCTGGAGAGTTTGTGATACTTTAGCAAGATCTAGGGTGTAAGTGTGAGAATGGATGGCTCATGGTGAATGGAATAGAAGGTCAAAGAGATTGGGGCAGTTAAGGAAACTATGAGTCATTCATGTGGACCTTGATCATCTGGAGAATTGCAGGTCTTGGGTGTTGTTAAGGAAACATAAAAATGGCGCTGGGTGTGGTGGCTCTGCCTGTAATCCCAGCACTTTGGGAGGCTGAGGCAGGAGGAAGATGTGAAGTCAGGAGTTTGGGACCAGCCTGGCCAAGATGGTAAAACCCTGTGTCTACTAAAAATACAAAAATTAACCAGGCATGGTGGTGTATGCCTGTAATCCCAGCTACTTGGAGGCTGAGGCAGGAGAATCACTTGAACCCAGGACGTTGAGGTTGTAGTGAGCTGAGATCACCCCATTGCACTCTAGCCTGGGGGACAGAGTGAGACTGTCTCATCATCATCATCATCATCATCATCATCATCATCATCATCATCATCATCAAGATATATGAAAATGGAGGCCACAGTCTAGATATAACCCAAGGCCAACTGCCCATAACCATGTAACCAAAACTGGTCATTCTAATTCCCTGAAAGGCTTTAATTATAAACACAAAATGTAAGCTTTAACTTCCTTGTCCACATGATTCCCCGAAATTAAACCAGTCAGCTATAGACGAATAGGCTTAAACAGCTCTGTTTTGCTTGAAAAGAAAAATGATAATATATACCAACCAATCATGGAAAAAGTCAAAATACTTCCTCCTTTATGCTTTATAAACCATGTAACTAACTGCCTACTGGAGCTTCTTACCACTTGGTGTGAAGTCTCCCAGATTGTAATCTATATTTTTTGTGCGATAATAAATTTTGCAATTTTTCCTAACTTGATCTGCTTTTATTTTTGATATTATAAAGGGAAGATTGTGCCATGGTTAGAAAGGGTTTTACTGGCTGTGGCAGAGTGAATAATGGGACCCCTTACTGGCTCAATGTGGCTAAGATGATAAGGATATGGATATGAGGGTGATGCTATAATCCAAAGGAGAAAACTTCGTGGGAAATTTCAGAGACATGTTCAATATGAGTTAGAAGGTATTTTCACTTAGTATTTTCATTTAGGGGGAGGTATGAGAAAAGATGACTCCAATCTCAGAGAACAGAGGCAGAGTGATTCATATATGCACACTCACAAATTTATGAAATTCACAATAGGTTAAGGATTGAAAACTGGTAAGGATAGGTAATTTGATTTGGGTTGTG